CCGTTTCTCCTTCCGCAGGAAGCGGGGCGGGGAGAGGGGTCGGGACAGTGGCGCCAGGTGGAGAAACTGCGTCTTTGCTTTGCCTCGTTGCTTTATTTCCCACTGCTGCATGCTCGGTTTTCTCAGTAGTGCCCATTTTGAAACGAAAAATGTAATCTTTCAACTGTGAAATCTCTGCTGTTTTGCTCCTTTTTCATATACAAGTCTGTTGCTGACTTTGCTTGATAGCCCCGGTAAAAGGTCATCAGAGCATCCCTAATTGAAAGGTTTTAAAAATTAGAGCCTAGAACTCTTTTTTTTTTTTTTTTAAAAAAAAAAGCTATCATAAGCTTCCATTTCTAACTCAGTCACACATAGGATTTCTAGTCGTCATTTCCATTCTTCAGCTGTTTCCACTTTTTGGTTGTTGCTGCTGTGATGGTGAGCTGAAGGGATGAGGGAACCACACGGACCATGGCCGATTGCTCTGTAAAGGGTCAGTAAAACAAGTGGGCAGATCTCCCATCCTCCATCCCTGAGGCAGCCACTCTGGGCACTTGGGAGCCGAGGAGAACAGTGACCCACGGTGGCAGGATGGCCATGCCCTCCCCAAACAGGTGCTCTGGTTCCCGGGGTTGGAGGCAGACAACAGGGCCGGATGGACCACGGCCTAGGTGGCCCTGCAGAGCAGCTCGTAGGTGCTTCGGAGAGTACTGGCAGAGGGATGCGGTGCTCTGTTGTATTCTGAAACACACACCCAGTTTTACTGTTCTCTGAAAATGACTTCTGTGGTTTTGGCTCTCATTGCGGGTAACGGCTTTGCTGTTCGTGTTGCACTGATGCAACTCTGCAGGATGCACTTCTGCTGGCTTTCAGACGAGGGTTTCGCTGAGGGAACATCCCTCCAGATCACTGTTGCTTTATGGCAGTATGGATGGTTGGGGGAATCTCAGTGAAGATGGAGTTTGTTCTTTTTTTTTTTTCTTCTTTTTTTTTTTTTTTTTTTTTTTTTTTTGTATCAAGGTAGATTGCTACCAATACACAGAGAACTGATACGACTAGCAAAATGGTATTTTGTGAATACCTAAAAGCTGTCGCTCAAGAGATGTACATAAATGCTATCCATATGCCTGCTTGGGTAACGTGGGTGGAAACCCAGGAGGGACTCATGTCGTATCCATATGCCTGCTTGGGTAACGTGGAAACCCAGGAGGGACTCATGTCTATTTCTCCTGATTTGAAACCTGATCTGCACTTGTCCTGTAAGCGGCTCTGCAACAATGAAGGCATCACTGGGTTAGCAAGGAGATGGTGAATAGTAACCCACGCAGTACCGTGGGGACTTACTGAGTTACCAGGGCCTGTAATCAGACCTGCCTTCATGTCCCCGCTGTTACTATGGACTAGGTCGGTCAAAGCTAGAACAATTATCCTTTCTCTGCTCCTGTTTCATTTTTCTCACCCCTAAGGGCGTGGTGTAGGTGACACAAGAGTAAACGACCACTTCTGAACTTTCTAGAGACCTGTAGAGGATTGCCGTCCTGCAAGGAAAGCATAAATTAATAGAATCTGCAGATTTCTGTCATACCATCTAAGTAAGGACAAACAAGACATGGATTAAAGAAGCAAAAGGCAAATTAAAATTAAAAAATGCTAATTAAATTCTTTCATGTTGTGATTTGGGGGGTGCGAGGGGTGTCCCCATCTCATGATACTGCTACAGTGCAGCTGCACAACAGTTAAAATTGAGTGGTCCTTCAGCCTGGGGGGTGGTGTTTGGGTATGTGTTTGTTTTTAAATCTGTAATGCCTCCAGCTGCTTTCCCTCAGCTTTAGGAGGGACTCTTGTCATTGGTGTTACCTTGCTGTGCAGTCTGCTGGGTTTTTGTTTATTTAGGAAAAAAAAAAAAAGCAGCACAGCCTGTGCCTTGTAGGAGGTTTGTTAAGGATTAGCACTGAGCTAATGGGAGGAGGGTGACAGTTGTCAGTTTCACTTTGAGATGTGATGTTTCTCTTCTGTGTTCCCAAGAGAAACTTCTGGTAATGATGTCTACAGCAAACAGCACAGTATTTGAACCAGTGGTTACTTCACCTCTTTCTTCCCTTCACAGCTAAGGTGGCAAAACACCGAAGAACCTCAGGATGTCTGTAATTCAGCAAGGGACGGCAACACTTCGCAAAGCAAAGAAGATCACTGTAAAAACGTGTCTAGATAACCCCTTTGTTTTTCAGTGGAAAACTATAGATGGAGAAGATATGCATTTTATACTACAGACTCTAGAAGAAAGGATTAAACATACTGGACTTAAAAAGATTGAGACTCCAAGAAAGAAAAAGCGCTCCCTTACAAAAAAGCAAATGGAAAAAGAGTGTGATGCCAGCACCAACAAACTCCCTGAAGAAGAGGAAACAGAAGGCCATCGACAAAAACCAGGATGGACTGACATAAATATCAGAAGACAGCTTGCTATTGGAGTTAATGAAGTTACAAAAGCATTGGAAAAAAATGATCTACTTCTCTTGCTGGTGTGCAAGTCTGCAAAACCTGCCATGATCACATCGCATCTTATTCAGCTGAGCGCAAGTCGAGCCACACCAGCCGGCCAGGTTCCCCGTCTCAGTGAAACTGTGGCGCCACTTCTTGGCTTAACATCCATTTTAGCTCTAGGCTTTAAAAAGCAGTCTGATAAATTTACTGAAGCAATAGAAGCAATAATTCCAAAGATACCAGCTTTGGAAGTGCCGTGGTTTCAGTACGGAATGGAAGAATCTGCAGCTCGTGCACATACAGATTCTTCAGAAAATCAGGAACCAGAGCAGCTTGCAGAGGAGCTGGGGAATGAGCTCGCAAGCCAGAAGCGGAAGCGTATGGAAAGCAATCAGCTCGATCTTTCACATGTAATTTTGCAGCCTTTGAAAATCAAGAAACTTGTTCCAAATCCAAATAAGATAAAGAAACCACCTCGCAAAAAGAAAAAAGCTTTTTCCGCATAACTGATTTTAGTTTGGTTCTTCATATTAAACTGATTTTTTTAGTGCAGTACGGAGTACAGCTCTAACTGAGCTATTTTGTTAGGCTTTACAGTGTAAAGCACTTGAATACAAGGTGAACTTCATGTTGCATTCAGTTGAGATACTTTCTGCTTTAATAAAGAATATTGCTCAAACTTGGATGCGAGTCTTTACCTGGGGATAGGTATTTCATTTGCAGGTGGAGATCACAGAGTTATAGTCGGTAATGAATATGCGGAAGTCATTTAACACATAGTAAGTACATCTTTGGAATTAACGCAAAGCATTAAACAAACTTCGTATTTTTATACAGATGGACATGCTTCAAGCATAATGGATTTGAATTAAGTATAATTATTCAAACAAATCAATAGCAAAAGTGAAAGTTTGTTTAAACAAAGGTCCATGCCAGTATAACTCTCTTTAAAGCTGGTTCAGTGCTTGCTTCAAGTAAAGAGCTGTAACAGCACAGGCGCTTCCCTTTTGAACTTCCAGTTTGCTCTGCTGAACAATTGACTTGTTTTGGTCAGGAATATATGCAGACTTGGGTTCCATCTAATGCCTGGTGTCCAATATGCTGAAGGAAAAACTATTTCCAAATACAGAACAAAACCAAATTACTACTGCTGCATTTTGAAAAAAAGACTTCTGTATGCAAGCTATTAACACACATCCCATGAGAAAATGTAAACGAACCTAAACTCAATTTGATCTCTAAGTGGAGTCTGAAATTATATCCTAGGAAACCAAAATAAACCATGTACTGTTGTGTATAAAGTAGATGACAGCTATAACCATTACAAGACTGAAATCATACCATGTAACTTTTGAGTTTCCTTTAGTTTTACCAAAGACTACGAACAGTTGCCTAAAGACAGTTGTGTTGCAGGAAGGAAAGGGAATAGTGGTGCAATTCAGACAACCAAATACAACAGCCTCGGAATTTACTTGGTGCTCTATATTTTAAGCAAAATTCAGTACAGTACTGTAGAAAAAAGCATAAAATACTTTTGAGTTACTCTGTTGTTCCTTAAAGATGGACTTTACATGTTGTAGTTTTCAGAGATTTTCTAATCCAGACTTCCAGTGCCATCAGCTAGCTTATCTGTATTTCGGATTTATTTAGAAGGGACCTTAGTTCATGATACCAACTATGAGGGGAGGCAAGTAGCTATGATTCATGATGCTCCCTGAAGTTTAAAAAAAAACCTCAGACGTTTAATGCCAAAATTTTTGCCCTCCCTGGCTGAGGAGGGGCAAGAAGAGGTCAGGGTTTTTTTTGCCTTGCTTCGTAGTCCTTCGTGCATGTCCTTTGCTTTGGCTGTTTGGATGCATAAAACTTTGAAGGCATGCTGGAACTAGCGTATTCTCATGCTGGCTAACTGTAACATTCAAATCTCAGCCTTTAAACAGAGCATGAGGATTAGCTTTGGTAAAGAACATAAGCACAGCAATCATCTTTCAAGCACTCTGCTGCCTGCCCAGGTCTATAGCTTTCTTCAGGGATTTGTGTCCCCTCTGCAGATAGGAAGTTACTCTGGGAAAGAAATTATAGCAGATGTTTCAAAAGACTGGTGGGAAGGGTGGTGGAGTGAGCCTTAAGCCTGCCGATCTTTGTGAAACCACCTGTTAGGTTTTGAGGAGTCTTACCTGATAGCTGTTCATAGCCCAAACCATGACAAAGTGCAATGCACAGACAGGTTCCGCTTAAGGAACAACAGAAGAGCCTCTCCTGTTGCGCTACCGACAGCGGCCGCCACACAGATAATCTAAGTACCTGCTTAGGAAGTGAGAGTGAGTTGCCATAATTTCCACCTCCAGAGCAACTGTCCTACTGCATGGGTGCAGGCTGGGACACCTTCAAGATTCACATCCTCTGGATGCTGTAATACTTCAGCAAAGCACTTGAGGTGAAGAGCACAGCAAGCCAAAAGGTTTGAGCACTCAACAGGGACAGAAAAGACCATGCCGGATTACATAGTGGTTAGGTAACGCACAGGCTCACGACCAGAACTCTCCAGAACTGCCCCAGCACTGGGGCTCAGGTGCTGGCTTCCCTCATGCTTCATATCAGCTACAGCGCTGCAAAGCTTTACAGGAGCATGACTCTGCCCTCCTTCCCCTCACTTAACATGCAGCGTGAGCCAGAAAATGAGACAGAAGTTTATCCCTTGGATTCAGAAGCAAATGGCACCGTTTTCCCAGAATACGGCACAAGAACAGCCACACTCCTTCCTCCATGTGCAATTACCCCAAGATTAGGGCAGAAAGCCAGGCTGCAGGAAACCCAGGTTCCAAGTCTGTCTTCTATCTGCACATATTTGGTCCCATCATGGCCTCAACACTTTTCCAAACAATAGTACTAGGAAGGATTTGCCTTCGGGTTTTGGAGGAGAGGAAAAGAAAACATCTGCCTACCATTTCTTCCACTTGAACTTTTGTGAGGGGAGGGAAGGCAGAGATGATTCACCTAGCATTCAAGACCACCCCTCTGAATTAGGGAGAGCTGGGCCGTGATGTTTCTTAACAAAGAAGTCTCTTAGCCATGAGGACAGAGCTAGGCCCTGCTGTCCCACCTCACCTTAGGCAGCAGCTGAGCGAGGGTTGCCCAGACTCTGCCTTTAGAGCCAAAGCAGAACACACCAGGCCCCTTGGTGAACCTCCTCCTCATCCCAGCAAGTTCCAATGCAAAAGGCAACCTTCCTGCCTTTTGGGAGTTAAGAACTTAAATCTTTGATGGAATTGAGATTAAATCCTTCTTGTTACCTCATTTACCTCGTTACCATCGATTACATTTTCAGGCCTCACACAGGGAGTCAAAACTCCCTCTGCACCATCTCTTCTGACTGCTACTGGCAGACAGGTAACAGAGTGGCCGAAGTTGTAAAGCTCAACTCCACCGTGAGATGTCTGAAAGATGTCCTCTGAAGCCCTTTTAAATTCATGAGGTCCCAAGCTGGTGCACACCCAGGGGTCAGACAAACCACATTCAATCCCTTCCTTTGTTTGAAGGAGGTCGAATGCTTTAATCACACAGCTGTAGCGCAATGAGGGAAAGTATTTATCACTGTCTCTCGGGCAGAATACCCTCACCACAATTCAACAGGAAAAAGAAACCAAACCACAAGCCATTCACACACTGGAAAAAGTGGGAAGAAAGAAAAACCTCACTGCTAAGAGGAGGTGGGTAGGGCTAGCAGTTATGAAGAACAGACAAATTTCTCTTTGTCTAAATGGATGTTTTCAGGTACAGAATTCAACTTTGAGCAAAATCTGCTGTCAGAATTACAGGCATGTTTAGAATGAAAGCTTAGACATTTGCATTTCATGAGATATTCAAGTCACATTCAAAAGATGCTCACAGCACAGAGGCTTCACTACCACAATTTGGCACTTTTCAGCTAGAACAGTTTCTTACTGCAGATTTTCTTGGTGCTCACGTTACTGCAGCATCCGTGAGCTGAAAGAACTGCTATCATATCTAGCTATGACGCTACGCTGGAGAATGCATATAAAGTACTTCAGAAGCCGCTCTGGTTGCCGAGCATTCATGAGGGAATTAAAACAGCTCCCCCTAACAACAACGATCAGCCCTCCTACATTTCAGGAAGCGCAGTACAGAGACTTCCAAGAACTGAGGGTAGAGCGTTTCTCTTTTGCTCACCAGCCACATATATAGCAAAACTTCTTGTTCCAAAGTCAGGATAAAAACACTACCAGGAACAATTTATGAATACGTATTTACACAAGATACTTTTCATTAGAATTACAGACTTCATAGGAAATCAAAATAGACAAAGGAATATGTGCAATTTCGCAGAAGCGTTGAAAACATTCAAACTATAAATATCCCGATAGCACTACTAAAATTCTTAGTTTTACACACAGGCTGATGTTATTCTACTGAGGAAAAACTAAGGTTTTGTGCCACAACTGTAAATTAAGTACAGTAATGTATTATCATTCCGGCAACATAGATAACACCTGCACTGAACAGTGCGATACTGTTAAATCAATCCACTGATCTATTGAAGATCAAAGTACAAATCTGTATTTTTATTGATTTGGCAGCGTTGCTTATGGAGAAACAAATGCACTAGTTAAACCAGTACATTGTCATACTGCTCCAGTTACAAAAACATCCAGGACTTTCATAGAGCTACAAACGTATCGTACGTCATGATTTTCCCCCAAATGATGATATCCACGTGAAGTAAATAAGCAAAGATACTCAAGTTTGTATCCTTCATTCTGTTACACTGACAAACATACACCACCACTTAATAAATAGAAATGCAGCAGTTCATCCACATAATAGCAAATATTTTTGTACCCTAATCCACCACTGAAGTTCAGTTTGTACAAAACAGTCTTTTTCTACAGAGTGGAAAAAAAATACCTTCTTCTCATCAAGGTGCAAGCTAAGCTTCAAAACTTAAATGAATGTGCTTTTATTCTTTTCATGGACAATAAAAGTTTCATGGACCTTCTGATCTATCTTAAAATGCATAAATTTGGTCACATATGGATGTCTTCGTTCTTCAGGTTTAATGGACTATTTCAGTATCACTGACGTTGTGCTTTTACTCCTCTTGAACAATACCATTCCAAGAGTTATGGAGATCAAATTAACCCAAATGATGACCTCAGAGTTCTAGAAACCTAAGTGTCCTCATTGTAATACAAGACCAACCTAAAGGAAGAAGAAAAATACAGTATTTTAGTACAAGTATGGCAATAATTCTACACATCACTAGTTTTCTGCACTTCAGTTCTGGATCTTAAATATGACCAATTAAAAAAATTATTTTAAAATAACTTCTACCCATTTTGGCCAGCATAGATTAACGAAGCATTATACCTAACAGAATTCAGAAGCTCTTTTTTTCTTCCTTACCTTTTCGGATTCCATGCCAGGACACCTCCAGTTGTACAAATAATACTGCAAATTTCCATCTCCGATCCCAAACTTGAGTTTTTCCAGGAATGTTTTGTTTTCCATTAAGTCTAGTGCATTGAACACATCAAATCCTTTCTGGCAATAGCAAAACATTTTTTAAATTTTACTTTTTAAAGTTTCAAATGACACACAAATGACACTTCACACAGTGGCATCAATATCCAACAGACTAGGCTAATTAAGTGGGGAAAAA